AGCCGGCCGCCCGTGTTGGGGCCCGGCCTCCAGTAGGCCCGGCGGATCTCGTTGGTTTTCTCGGTGAAGCTGGAGTTCTGGCGGATCTTGTAGTGCACGTGGGGCGGCAGGGAGCCGTCCTTCCGCGTCTGGAAGATCACGCCTGGGGCAGGGGAGGGTGGAAGAGGGGCAAGACCTGAGATGGGGTCTGCCCAGGGCAGGAAGGGACAGGAGTGGGTGAGGGGTGTGAAGGGTGGAACTGTGATGGGCGAGGTCTTGGGGGGGTAAAGGGTATGGGGTGGGGCTGGGATGGGGAGAGACTGAAAAAGGAGGGACTGTAGGTGGGACTGCAGGTGAGGGAGCAGGTGGGGAGCAGGTGGAGCTGCAGGAAAGGGAGCAGGAGGGGCTGCAGGGGGGTAGGGGGGAGCCGGGTAGGGCTGACTCACTGGCGAACACGGTGACGTTGTCCTGGTAGGCCTGGTTGAGGGTGTAGTTGACGATGCTCTCCTCATCGGGGAACCCCTTGAAGATGTCCACGCTCACCTGGGGGAGGGGCATCGTCGGAACTGGCCGCGGGCACCAGCGGGGTTCAAAGGGGCCGGCCCACCCGCCCACCTTGGACATGAACTGGATCCAGCCACAGGCACCTTTTCTAGGTGAATTCTTTCTTCCTTTTTTCTCTCTAGCGAAACCTTCACTTCCAGTTTTCCCCTTTGGGCATCAGATGTTGAGTGTTTCCTTCCCACTTCCCGCGTGGATCAGGGTTCAGGAACTGGAAGTAGAGCCGCACACAAATGAAAATGAAAAGACAAGAGATAATTTGGGAATATTGGGGGGCCAGGCTGGCAAGTCCAACTCAAGGGGAAGGACTTCCACCTGTGCTCAGGCCTCACCAAGCTTTTATTCATTTGGGATACACCCATAGCATAGCCCTTAGGCAGGTGACCCCTGGCAATGGGCAGACTAGCCCATCAGCAAGGATTTACATAATAATAAATGGGGGAGTAGTTTCAGCTACCACTGTCTGGACAAACAGAGGTGGCACCTAGCTCCAACCTTTGCTAGGGCTTCAAAGGCACCCAGCCTTCAGGGGGTTCTCTGTCTACGCTTATCAGCTAGTGAAGGCAATAAACAGTTTCCCACACAGGGATGTCT